AATGAGATGAGGTTGGTAAGGCAATATCTGCCTGCGATGAAGCCATGCTGGCTGTCATTCAGAATTCTACCTTCTGTAAGCTTATCACAGATAGTTTCCTTGATGAACTTTTCTAGGATTTTCCCTAGGCTATATGTTAGGCTGATTACTTAGTTACCCAGGTCCTCCCTCTTGACCTTCTTGTGGATGGGCACAACATTAGCCCTCTTCCAGTCCCCTCAGGGACTTCTCCAGAACAGCATGAGCTGTGGAAGAATTTTGCCAGGGGTTCCACAATGACTTCAGCCAGCTCCTTCAGCACCCTCAGACGAAGATAATCTGGTCCTACTGATTTGTATACGTCTAATTTTATTAATTGGTCATACACCAATTCTACAGCAATAGTAGGAAGGCGATTATTGCTACCATGCTCATCCTCTACTCTATCTGGTTTTCCCCTTGGTCTGGTGAAAGACTGAGGCAAAGCAGTCATTCAGGAGTTCAGCTTTCTTCTGGGTGCCGGTAACCAGCTCTTCTGAGTTGTTGAGCAATGGCCTCACATTCCCATTTGTTTTCCTTCTGTTCCCTATGACCTTAAGAAGGACTTCTTGTTGCTAATCTAAGTTCCTATTGCTAATCTAAGTTCAGTCGCCGCTTTAGCCTTTCCTATATGTTCCCTGCAAATGCAGGCTGTCGTGGAATAGTCTTCCTTGGGTCCCACCCTGAGCTTCCATTATTTATAAGCCTCTTTCTTCATTCTTAAGAGGATTGTGATTTTCCTGTTTAGCCAAGAGGACATCCCATCAAAGGAAAAAAAGATGAAAAACGGAATTCTTTTTAACGTAGCATCTCTCAGCTGTAGGTTTCCTGGAATTTGTTTTACACAAGATCTCCAGAACAGTCAAGAAAAGAAGCTCATTACAATCGAAAGCAGATTTCCAGTACTGTAAGGGACATTTCAGCACTGGCTTCTATTTGGAAGCTTTCTAGAATGACATGTTAAATAACCATGATGCGTGTTCAAATGTACACCTGCAGCTCTTATTTAAGTAATAGGAGCCATGCTCTTATGTTAAGAGGATACTGAGCACCTAAGGGCAAATTGATACTGCATCCCAGCTGAGCCTGGAGCAACTATCAAGAATTACCTTCTGACATTTGCTCCTACTCAGTATGTGACCACATATGGCTATTAGGCAGACTAGGCCACTTACAGGGGTCATGAGGACATACATCAACAATGTTCTCAGGCTGTCCCCACACAGAGAACCTGAGGTAAATTCTGGGACATGTGTTTAGACTGACTATTCTACCTAACTGCTAGGCTTGGGTGCTGGCAGAGTGGAACTGGGTGGCTGGCACTGAGTGGGAGCTAGTAGATTGGACTTGATTCTAGGCAGTTTTCCTGGGCTTGGGAAAGTGACAGTAAAGACGAGACCTGGTGGATTCTAAAGAAAAATCTTCCTTGCTCAGGCTCCATATTTGGATTTCCCAGAAAAAATAGCATATGGAAAAGGTGAGGACCAGGCAAATCACCTACCTGAAGTGGGGTCCTAAGTTGAACTCTGGAGCAAAAGGTTTGTTGGTGACAATAGTGGTACCAATGCCAGTAGCCTGGACTGGGATCACATAGGTGTTGCTGTTTTCTATTATCAAGTTCACTTTGTCCTGGAATTTCATGGTGTCATCCAAGTTGGCTGTCAGAGTCACTGGGATCTGTGTCTCGGGAGGAACTACTCCTTCACTGGGCTCAATCCTCCATGTTGAGTGATTGCAAGCCTGCAACACAATCAAAAGCTAACATCAGGAGAGAACAATTGATCTTACTGCACTCATGGAGCACTGCAAAGTAAAATTTGAAGAAAGGGAAACAAATGTATGGCAAGCAGAACGTCTCAGGTTGAAATTAATTCTTATTACATGTATGCACATATTTAATTTTGAAATTCATTTAACCTAATAATGAATAGTCATAGAATCATAGAAAATTAGGTTTGGAAGGAGGTTAGTCAAAACCTCTACCCAAAGCAGGACCCTCCCCAACTAGATCATTCCAGCCAGAGCTTTGTCAAGCAAGGTCTTAAATATTTCCAAGGACAGAGATTGCACCACCTCTCTAGGTAACTTGTTCCAGTGCTTTACCACCCCCCTAGTGAGAGAGTTTTTCCTAAACTCCCTTGCTGCAACTTGAGACCATTGCTCCTTGTTCTGTCATTTGTTACCACTGGGAACAGTCTTGCTCCATCCTCTTTGGGACCCCCCTGCTTTGGGTAGTTGAAGGCTGCTATCAAATCCCCTCTCAGTGTTCTCATCTCCAAACTAAATTAACCCAGTTCCCTCAGCCTCTCCTCAGAAATCATGTGCCCCAGCCCGCAAACCATTTTTGTTGCCCTCCACTGGACTCTCTTCAACTTGTCCACATCCTTTCTATGGGCATTTATACATGTACCTTAGTCTGCTCCAATGCACCCAAAATCCAGCACATCAGAGCAGACTTGATTAACTGAGTCTGCAGAGCACATGAGCTGATGCATCTGGTGCTGCATTGCATGTATTTGTATAAATGGTGAAGTGCACATCAGCGTGCAGAAAATGGCAGAGGTGCACTTTTGAACTAAAACACCTTTGATGTGTTTTAGTTCAAAAGCAGGCCACCACCATTTTATCGGCACTTATGCATATTTTGCCATTTATACGAATATATGTGCTGCAGCGCTGGGTGCTTTTAAAAGCACTTAGTGCTGTGGCACACACATGTGTACAAATGCCCAAAAGTGGGAGGCCCAAAACTAGACACAGTACTCCAGATGTGGCCTCACCAGTGCAGAACAAAATGAAATAATTACTTCCCTCAATCTAATGGCAAAGTTCCTACTAATGCAGCTCAATATGCTATTAGCTTTCTTGGCAATAAGGACACACTGCTGACTCATATCCATCTTATTGTCTACTATAACCCCCAGGTCCTTTTCTGCAGAGCTGCTGCTTAGCCAGTCAATTCCCAGGCTGTACTGGTGCATGGGATTGTTCCGTCCTAAGTGCAAGACTTTGCGCTTGTCCTTGTTGAACGTCATGAGATTTTATTTGGCCCAATCCTCCAATTTGTCTAGGTCACTCTGAATCCTAACCCTACCCTCTAGCATATCTACTACACCCCCCTGCCAGCATGGTGCCATTGGCAAACTTGTTGAGGGTACACTCTATCCCATCTTCTAGATCTTTAATGAAAATACAAAACAAAACTGGTCCCAGGACTGACTCCTGGGGCACTCCACTTGATACTGGCCGCCAGCTAGCCATTGAGTCATTGATTACTACCTGTTGAGCCCAACAATCCAGCCAGCTTTCTATCCACCCTACAGTCCATTCATCCAACCCATACTTCCTCAGCTTGCTTGCAACAATGCTGTGGGTGATGGTATCAAAAGCCTTGCTAAAGTCAACTATTTGTCCACATAACAATTATGTCCACTGCTTTCCCTGCATCCACAGAGCCAGTTTTCTCATCATAGAAGGCAGTCTGGTCAGTCAGGCATGATTTGCCCTCAGTGAATCCATGCTGATTGTTTCTAGACACCTCCCTCTCCTCCAAGTGCTTAGAAACGAATTCTTTGAGGACCTGTTCCATGATTTTCCTGGGGACTGAGGTGAAGCTGATTGGTCTGTAGTCCCCCAGGATACTTCTGCTTCCCTTTCTTAAAAATGGGCACTATATTTGCCCTTTTCCAATGGCCTGGGACCTCTCCCAATCACCAGAAGTGATTCCTAGCTGATTGGGAAGGGGATGATTGGGAAGTAAGTAACTGGCCAGTAATAGATTATAAACCATTGCATGAAGACAATCCCATGGAACAAACCCTTAGGGATTATTCTGGGGGGCTCTACAGGGGATATGGGACCCTCACACTCCTAGAACTGTCTCTAGGGCGCACTTTCTTCCCCCGGAGATTTTGTGTTAGGTGTGTCAGAGGACCCTAGTGCAGACCTGGGCTAAAACATACCCCAGGGCTTTAACATTATATTAGTTACACTATGCTGGCAAAATGAACACACTCAGTCAGCTCCATTTAATTTGTAATTCTCCAGAGCCTCAGAAAAGAATGGCTTAAAATAGAATGGCAAGCCAAAGGACAGCATTGCAGAGGGCTGTCTGTCTAGGTTTAACCCTCGTGACTGCCTTTTTTATATGGATAGGGGTAAGTACTGATTTAATTGCCTGGCATCCTCTGCTCCTGTGCCTTCAGTATTCTTTCCCAGTCTATTCTTTGGTCTTCTAATTCTTCAGCTTCTGGACCTTGGGCCCCATCAACCTTATGGTTTGGCCAGCAGCTACCATAATATTATCAGCCTCCAGTTAAGGACTCTTGGATCTTGTACTTGAATGAGAACACTCCCACTGCCACCTACCAGTCTACATGCAGAAAGAGGCCAATTGAATCTAAGAAAAACTGTAGTAACCACTGGCCCTCTCCTAGCCTGACTGTGGATATTGCACTCAGCCTCCTGAAACTCCTTTTAAGCATCACATGTCCAACGCATTTGCATCTTTCAAGCTCTTATCAGCTAAAGCCAACAACTTGAAGGTGACGTACATAGAAGACAGGAGAAGCCTAGTTTGTTCAGTACACTTATGATATTGCCAACCCTTTGCCATTTTCCTTGAACTGCTTAACTAAGTGGTCAATAGCAGTATGGTAAATCTATGAAACTGCAACAACAGAGAAGCTATCAGAAAAACACATTCAGAAAAGCACAAGCCCCAGCTGACTTCCTGCCCCTGGGGCAGGGGGCTGGACTCGATGATCTTTTGAGGTTCCTTCCAGCCCTAATGTCTACACCCCTATGAAATCTATTTTCATGCCAGAGGACATTAGGTTTAGATTGACATTAACATACTATTTCTCTTCTGATTCATGCTGACAAAGGGTAGCTGAGCTGAAAAGGAGACCTGATTGTTTTGTTCTATAGGTGAATCTGCAAGTCTGCTATCTGACACAGCTAATTTATCAGTGCTTGGCACAGAGCCCAGCAGTAGATTGTACCAAAGAAACATCGAGCCATAGTGATTGAACAGTATGATGAAAGTAGCTGATACATTTCCCAGAGAGACACAGTACAGACCCAAACTGTTTTAGTAACCTGATAGTTAGCCACTTCTGAGAGGGCAAGCTGACCCTAGCATTTGGTGCAGGTTGAAGGGAAGTGCATAAGCAGGAGAATGCAAGGACAGGAAAAGAATGTGGGGCCAAATTCACTCCAGGCTCTAGGTCATCTTCTGCTGCTGCTGATCCACGCTGTTGGCCTTGGAGAAGAAAATAGGCTGAAGGGAAGAGGTCATAACCTCTATGCATGGTTGGAAAGTCTCCAAGGAAAGATCACTGGGTAGGAAAAGGTCATGGCCTGGGCAATTGGAGATACACTGATTCAAAGCATTTTTCACAGCCTCTTGTGGATTCCAGATGGAAGTTAAAGTGCTCCCAAGCAAGGATGGCAAACTCAATGTCACCTGTCCTCCCTTAGGGTGACTTTTGCACAAGGAATGAGGTCACGCTTATAGAGGAAGAGTTATTTATGCTTCACTGGGCTGTCTCTGAGGAATACAGCCTACCATGGGGGAGAAAGCAATGCCAACTGACTTCGACTGTTCTGAAAAGTGAAGCAGAGGGGCCACTAGAACAGGAGTTAGGAGACCGGAGATTTCTGTCGCTTGCTGCTACTTTTCACTATGTAATAGAAAACTAGTCTGTGCCTTTGTTTCCCCTTCTGTAAAATAGGATAATGATATACACTGATATCAACCTTTGTAAAGTGCTTTGACAGAAAAAAGTTATATGCTTTTATTACCAAAAGATATTTTCTAAGGAATAGAGTGGCATCTGATTTGTTATAGTAGCCCTTTTACTACAGTTTATTTTAAGGGTCTACTAAGCAATAAAATACATACACATAGTGTGCTGCCTGGATTGATAAACATGGAAGCTATTTTAATATCTGTAATAGACTACTTCCTTCTTGGATGTCATTGGGCGCTACTGATTTTAAGAGCAGGAGCATTAGCCAGGGGGTGAAATAGCCACATCATTTCCAAGAGGAGCAGCCCTGGGATCATTAACTTTCCCCAGGGTAGACTTTGTCTGTGAGCAGAAACTTCCAATATCTAGTTATAATGAACACTGGGGTGATTTTCAGATATTGACTACAGCCCATTCAGAAATGAGCTGGGGGCCAGTTCACTTGGAACTGTATATAGCCAGCTAATTAGATTGATTTTGGTTATGTAAATCAGGAGCTCGCATCAGTAAAAAAGGAAGCTGAATTTGGCCATTAAATCTATCTGTCTGCTTAGTGTGACACAAAATACTGACATTACACAGAGTAATGATATCTTTTCTTATGGGACTCTTAAACTAGATAGACACATAGTTCTGCCCAACTCCCATACGGCAATCTTACATGATCCAACCTTTTCAGTCATACCAAATTACTAAATATGATAATGAGTACAGGAAAATACAGAAAGGAGAATAAACATGAATATTATTAAGAGCTGGAAAATCATAAACCCAACAAGCTGATTGATAACTTCAGGCCAGTGTCTGACAGATCCTCTCTGCTATCAGCCATTCTAAATAATGATCAACAGAACAACAGAGAAAAGGGTGAGACATTCTCTTGCAGGGGATAAGTTCTGCAATGAGTGTGCAGTGGTCTAAACCCTCAAAAAGGCTACTGAACAACTCTATCTCAGACTGGAGAAAGTGGAAGCAGCAAATAGGACT